CTGGGGAATTCTGGGAGTTGAAGTCCACCTATCTTAAAGTTGCTGAGGTTGAGAAACACTGTCCTAGGGGAATAGTATGATGTTTTGTTTTGTCTTAATTTTTCTTATCCTTGAAATGTGGCCCTTTTTCCATCCCTGGATTACTTATTCCCATCTATGCCGCAGATCTGTGTCTTTCACCCCTAAAATCTTATTCACGGCATTCTTGTTTGAGCAAACCTTATACAGGAATTTAGATTCTGGGAGCTGATATAATCTGATATAACATTTCATCACGCACCTCTTTTTCCTTGTCCTGTTTAGGGCTCTAATGAAACCAGTTCTTTGAATTTTGCTGCACTTCACATTTAACAAGGGAAACTTTCTTCTCTGAAAGCAGGAGCCAATTCAAATTTGCATGCTGGATGTTGTCAACAGTATTTGCACCTACTCAAAGCAAACCTCTCACTTAACTTCACAGTTTAGGTCCTGTTTAGATTAGATTTAGATCATTTTATTTTGGTCAATAACGAGCTTAAAACAAGATATCACAAAACCCATACACTCAAATATGTGGGTGTAACATACTTAGGTGTAAGTAAAATAATGCCCTCTATTAACTACGCTCGTTTGAGACTTAAGTTTTTAGCAATACTTAAGGTTAGCTAAGAAAAGAAAAAAAGAACCATAACATTAATTCCAAGTGGATTCCAAAACTAGATACTCAGTCTGTAGTACATTAACAATATAAAAGTAAGTAACTGTACAATCAAATAATCTAAAATAGGAATACGTTTTGGTGGATAATCCATGCATGGATCATTTTTGTCCTGTGTTCCCAGTTGCTGGGGGAGATCTCCGAGGCCTTTATTCTGCCAACATGGAGCCCCAGATCACACCAGGAACCTGTTTTTTGTGAATTTTCAAATATATGACCGCCTGTGGTCCTTTAAACTGAGTTCCCTTCAGATGTGTTGGTTTGACTCCCACCAACACAGGCTGAGCCTGGGAATTGGAAGAGCTGAAGCTCCTGGTTGCAGAAGGCTGGAATAGACAGTCACCACAAAGGAATGAAAAAAAGAAAACAGCTTTTTCCAACCAGGAAGCACGAGGGCCTGAGCGCGATGGTTTCCGAATGACACAGATGCTAATATTTGTTTTTCTTTGTCCCCCCCCCCCAAATACGAGCCCTTTGGCCAGATGTGAATTTAGTTTGGTTTGGAAGCAGCGTGCTGCACTGTGCAAACGCGGGGAAGTCTCTTCTGACCCGATGCACGCCAGAACCACGTGCGGTTGTCTCCGGGATTTGGAGAACCGAGACCCGTTTAGCCCATCCGGGCCTCCGTACGCTGCAACTTTTTAGAGCGAACCCACCATTCGATGAATCGCAGCAGCTGGGGATCGGCTATTTGTGGGGGAAGCACTAAAAATATCGCCTCAGTGTCAATCTTGCTGTTCCGTGAGCTTTCTGGTGCACAACCTGTTCCCCAGGATGGATAAGGAGATTTTTCTCTCTGCATCTCCCTTCCAATCGTGGCCAGAACAAACTTCAGTTCTCTGACAGCTAATCATTCCCTCCTTCATGGTCAGCACTTAATGTGGGTGTGCCCGACTCAGATATTATTATTCATTTATGCATTAAAACTACAGCTAATGCCCCAGCAACTTTTCAGAAGATCTGTCGTTGCAGGAACCAAAGAAACTAACCAAACCTTGATCTCTTGCGGCTTTTTAGGGTTCTATCAAAGACCAGCTAAAAGCCTATGGTGCCTTGACAGAGAATGTGACTCGTAAATACACGAGGCAGATCCTACAAGGGGTTTTCTACCTCCACAGCAACATGATTGTACACAGAGATATTAAAGGTAGGCACAACTCACAAGGGACGTTTCAGGTTGCTTCAGCCAGCCCAGATGCTTCCAGGGCCAAAGGCAGCTTGATGGAGCCCGGTATGAGAATGAAGGTTGTGATGAAATCTTCAGGGCAGAGTCTCAAAGATTTCACCCCACCCTGAAAACGACTTTTATTTTCCTACCTTGTTTTCAGGATGTTAGCATTTTTTTAAAGAGGTGTTTCTTGTTAGTCACCTGAGCTGACTTTATTCCTGGAAGTGGCAAAGGTTGGTGGTGTTTCTGCATCACATCAGCCCCTCCTTCTGAAGACCCCTCAGCTGTCCAGTTCCTCAGTCTGGGGAATAACCCACCAACACGGGCCGAAAATACCTTTTAATGTCTTTCTTCGGCATTCAAGAGAATTGAAGGCATTTAAGGGAATCTGTTCACATACGTCTTTGGTCGCCCACCTTGTCACTAAATCGGGACAAGGCCACCCAACATCTACTCATCCAACTCTCATCGAAATCACTCTCTCCTTTGAGAGAGATTTTAAAGCAAATTCTCTTCTATCAAATTGAATGAGAACAGGGAGGGGGGCAAATGCAGCACCAGTTTTCAGTCCAGCATTCATGTAATATGAAAAGAACTCTAGCAGCTAAGAAATATATACCCAAAACGATATGCTAATTAAAACATGGCTTGACGATAAAAGCCAAGCCATTGTTGGGGCTGCTGCAACATTAATAAAAGATATTGATAGGTAATGAGAGAGAGATGCACACACATTATTTAACATTATTTTTAAAATACAGACACACACATATTAATTTTTTAATACATCAATACAGACACACAAAGACTCTTATAATATGAGGAAAGTTGTAATTGTTGAAGAACAGACGCTAGCCATATAATCTGAGAGGAAAACAAAACCAAATTGAAACTGCTAGGGAGAATGTGCAAGATTTATTCAGGATGCCGATGGAGCGTTAGTTTCAAGAGGGGCTGCATGTCGACGTGGGTCTGTAGAGGGAAAGGTGTGGCCTTGAGTGTGCAGCAGACACGGTGCCTTGTGCTTCTTGCAGTCTTCATTGTAGACGATCCAGCACTAGGCAGCCAACTATGAACCCAAGATTTGCAGGAATGTCTTGCCAGCTTGCTGCTGATTCTCTGTCATGTTGTCTTCTTCTTTTCCTTCTCCTTCTCCTTCTCCTTCTCCTTCTCCTTCTCCTCCTTGTCTATCTCCTCCTCCTTATCCGCCTTCTTCTTCTCTTCCATGTCTCTCTTCTCCTTCTTTTCCTTCTCCTTCTCCTCCATGTCTCTCTTCTCCTTCTCCCCCTTCTCCTTCTCCTCCTTGTCTGTCTTCTCCTCCTCCTCCTCCTTCTCTGTCTTCTTCTTCTCTTCCATGTCTCTCTTCTCCTTCTTCTCCTTCTCCTCCTTCTCTGTCTTCTCCTTCTCCTCCATGTCTCTCTTCTCCTTCTCCTTCTCCCCCTTCTCCTTCTCCTCCTTGTCTGTCTTCTCCTCCTCCTCCTTATCTGTCTTCTTCTTCTCTTCCATGTCTCTCTCCTTCTTTTCCTTCTCCTTCACCTCCTTGTCTGACTTCTCCTTCTCCTCCTTGTCTGTCTTCTCCTTCTCCGTCTTCTCCTTCTCCTCCATGTCTCTCTTCTCCTTCTCCTTCTCCTCCTTCTCCTCCTTGTCTGTCTTCTCCTTCCCCTTCCCCACCTAGGTGCCAACATTTTGAGAGATTCCGTTGGGAATGTGAAACTAGGAGACTTTGGGGCCAGCAAACGCATTCAGACCATCTGCATGTCTGGAACAGGGATGAAATCTGTCACGGGAACTCCCTACTGGATGAGCCCAGAGGTGATCAGTGGAGAAGGCTATGGAAGGAAGGCTGACGTATGGTAAGATGAGGGGTTAATCCCAGGAAGGCATGTTCATTGGTTGTGGGGGGTGAAGATGAATGAACAGTGCTGGAATTACCTAATGTATTTGTAAATATTCTGCATTTTCAACCCAAGAGCTTAATTTTAGCTGTTTCTGAATTATTACAGCATCCTTCTCTCACCTGTCCCCTGGAGTTCACACCGAGATTGTTTTTATCTTGACAAAAGCAACTTGGGGAGACTGAGCTGAGAGATGGAGACAGACCCAAAGTTACCTGAAATCAGGTTCTCACATACATGAGGGCTTGGGCCCCACTGATGCCTACAGTGGATCTCCAAGCCTTCTTCCCACCACATTGCAGCACCCTCCCTGCACTCCAGGGAGGAGACCCAGCTATTTATGCTGCTGCCACCCATTTGACTACAGAACAATCCTCTTGGCCACTCATTTCCCAGGGAGGTGAAAAGTTACATCCCTTTTCATTTCACAGCCTGATGTGCTAGGAATGGATGTGCTGGACCCCTTTCTCTGAGTGAGCCCCACACTGCTTCCCTGTTTATTCAATATATAGAAAGGTGAGAGATCT